TATCCTTTTACTTGACATCTCTTAATTCTCTCCCCTTCCTCTTTATCCTCTTTCTATTTCCTTCAGGACTTTTGTCTCTCTTGTATGGCTCTCCACTCTTTCCTTCCTCATTGTATCTCTTAATATATTTTGTCTTTTTTTATATCTCTTACTTGTACACTATTCTTCCTTTCATTTACCCAAACTCCTTATTCACCATCCATTTATTGTTCATCTAATTAATTATCTTCTTATCTTCCTCTTCTGACGTGTCCCTTCAGGACTTTGACGCTTATGGCTCTCCACTATTTCCTTCTTCATTTTTTATCTCTTAATATATTTTGTCTTTTTTGTTATCTCTCCTAAACACTATTCTACCAATCATTTACTCTCAACCATTTACTTTTGAGTTCTTGACATCTAATTAATTATCTCATCCTTCTTCCTCTATCCTGACGTGTCCCTTCAGGACTTTGACGCTAATGGCTCTCCACTATTTCCTGTTCTTTTGTATCTCTTAATATATTTTGTCTTTTTGTTATCTCTCCTAAACCCTATTCTACCAATCATTTACCCAAACTCGCGAGGTTCTTTTTTGGTTGTTTGGTGTTATGGCTAATTAATTATCTCCTCTTTTATCTTCTCTATCTGACGTGTCCCTTTTTTGGATCTCTTGACTTAATGGCTCCATTCCTTTCCCATTTCATTGTCGTTCTCTTAATCTTATTTTGTCTTTTTGTTATCTCTTAAACACTATTCTCTCAATCATTTTCCCAAACTCTTTTTATCTTTATTTTTGTTCTTCTAATTAATTTGTCTCATTGTTATCTTCCTCTATCTCCTTCTTCCTTCCACTTTGACGCTAATTATTCTTCCACAATTTCCTGTTCTTTTTATCTCTTAATATTTGGTATTTTGTCTTTTTTCTTATTTCCTCCTAAACTTTATTCTCGTTCCAATTTTTTTGTTTTTTGGTGGGTTATGAAACCTTGTTCCATCCAATTAATTATCTCATTCTTATTTCCTCTATCTTTTGGTGTCCTTCTTGGACTTTGACGCTAATGTATCTCCACTATTTCCTTCTCCTTTTATCTCTTAATATATTTTGTCTTTTGTTATCTCTCTAAACACTATTCTCCCATCCATTTACCCTCACTCGCCTTCTTCTTTATGAGTTATCTGTTATCTAATTAATTATCTCATGGCTTATCTTTCTCTCCTTTTTTATCCTTCAGGATTTTGTCTTTTGTTATCTCTCCTAAAACTCCCTTTATCCATTTCCTCTTCATTCCTATTCTTCTTATATTTTGTCTTTTCTTATCTCTCCTGTCACTATTCTTCCTCCTCCTATTTCCTCAAACTCGCTTTCTCTTAATTTATTTTGTCTTTTTGTTATCTAATTAATTATCTCCATCCTCCATCCATTTACTCTATCTTCTTCTTTCCTTCTTGTTGACGCTAATCCGTTCCACAATTTCCTGTTCATTGTTTCCTCTCTTAATATTTTTTTTATCTTTTAATATATTTTCCTAAACACTATTCTACCAATCTCTTTACCCAAACTCTCCTTCTTATGGGTTATGAGTTGTTGTCATCTAATTATTCTCATCTTATCTTCCTCTATCTCGTGTCCCTTCAGGACTTTGACGCTAATGGCTCTCCACTATTTCCTGTTCTTTGTATCTCTTAATATATTTTTCTTCTTTTGTTATCTCTCCTAAACACTATTCTACCAATCATTTTACCCAAACTCCATTTACTTCTGAGTTCAATGGTTCTTATTAATTATCTCATGTTTATCTTCCTCTATCTGACGTGTCCCTTCAGGACTTTGACGCTTTGGCTATCTCCACCCAATTTCCTTCCTTCTTTTTATCTCTTAATATATTTTTCTCTTTTGTTATCTCTCCTAAACCTATTCTACCAATCATTTACCCAAACTCATTCTTCTTGGGTTATGAGTTGTTGTCATCTAATTAATTATCTCATGGTTATTTCCTTCTATCTTTATCTCTCTTAATTCTTTTTTGACTTTGTTATAATGTCCATTCTCCATCCATTTCCTCATTCTTTTTCCTTCTTAATTTTTTTGTCTTTTTGTTATCTCTCTCTATTCTATTCTACCAATCCTTTCGTTTAAATCTCTTCTTATTTTTTGTATCTTTTGTTTGGCTCTAATTAATTATCCTCTCATTTTTTTCCTCTTCTTCTTTGTCCTCTTCAGGACTTTGACGCTAATGTTCTTCCTCCTCAATTTCCTGTTCATTGTATCTCTTAATATATTTTGTGTCTTTTGTTATCTCTCCTAAACATTCTATTCTCCAATCCATTTTTTCCTATTTCCTTCTTACTTTTGGGTTGCTTACTTTGTTATCATCTGGTTCCTTATCTCTCCTTTATCTTCTCGTTCTATTTCCTTCTTAATATATTTTGTCTTTTGATTCCTTCCTCTCCTAATCTCTCCGTTCCCTTCCATCCATTTTTTCCTGTTCTTTGTCCTCTCTTAATCCTATTTTGTCTTTTATTTATCTCTCCTCTTACTATTCTACCAATCCTTCCTTATCCCTCTTTTCTATATCGCTAGGTTTGGTTCTCTCCTTATTCCATTCTAATTAATCCATCTCTTATGTTTATCTTCCTCTATCTGACGTGTCCCTTTCAGGACTTTGGTGTTCTTATGGCTATCTCCACAATTTCCTTCTTCTTTTATCTCTTAATATATTTTGTCTTTTTTGGTTATCTCTCCTAAACACCCCCACTCATCCATTTCTACCTCAATCATTTTTCCTTCTTAACTTTTGGGATGGGTTATGAGTTATTCTCATTTCCTAATTAATTATCTCTTAATATATTTTGTCTTTTTTGTTATCTCTCTATCTGACGTTCCCTTCAGGATCCATTTATCTACGCTTTATTTTGTATCTCCACAATTTCCTGTTCCACTATTTCCTCTCCTTTTATATCTCTTAATATATTTTTGTCTTTTTGTTATCTCTCCTAAACACTATTCTTCCATTTATTTACTCAAACTTCTTTCCTTCTTACTGTTTGGTCCGTGAGTTGTTGTCCTTATCATCTCTCCTTATTATCTCATCTTTATTTCCTCTTAATATATTTTGTCCCTTCAGGACTTTCTCGCTAATGTATTCCTTCCATCCATTTCCTCTCGTTCATTTTCTTCTCTTTATATATTTTGTCTTTTTGTTATCTCTCTCCTCTAAACACTATTCTACCAATCATTTTATATTTTTAACTTTTGTTATCTCTCCTTATCCTCCTTATTTCCTTCTTGTTGTCATCTAATTAATTATCTCATTCTTCTTCCTCTATCTGACGTGTCCCTTCAGGACTTTGACGTTAATGTATCTCCACTATTTCCTGTTCTATTCCTCTCTTAATATATTTTGTCTTTTTTTGTTATCTCTCCTAAACACTATTCTACCATCCATTTACCCAAACTCAATCTTTTTTTCTTATGAGTTGTTGTCATCTAATTAATTATCTCATGTTTCTCTTTCTCCTCCTTCTTACTTTGTCCCTCTTCAGGATTTTGACTTTTGTTATCTCTCCTCAATTTCCTCGTTCCATTGTATTTCTTAATATATTTTGTCTTTTGTTATCCCTCCTTAACACTATTCTACCAATCATTTACCCAAACTCTTCTTTTTCTCTATCTCTTGTTTTTGTCTTTTTTTAATTATCTCATCCATTATCCATCCTCATTTGACTGTTCCTTCTTCTTCTTTTGACGTCCCTATCAATTTGTAATATTTCCTGTCCTTCTCTCTTTCCTCTCTTCCTTTTTCCTCTCTTACTTTTTGTTTTGTTTTCCCATTCCTTCCCCTCCATTTCCTCTAAACACTCCTTCTTCTTTATCTCTTACGTGTCCCTCATTTTGACGTTAATGGCTCTCCACTATTTCCTTCTTCTTGGTATCTCTTAATATATTTTGTCTTTTTTATTCTCTCCTCCTTTCTTCCTCCATTTTCCTATCCATTTACTGAATCTCAATTCTTATTCCTTCCTCTATCTGACGTGTCCTTTCAGGACTTTGACGTAATCTATTTCCTCTTCTTTTGGTTTCCCTTCCCCCTTTATATCTCTTAATATATTTTTGTCTTTTTTCTTATCTCTCCTAAACACTATTCTACCAATTTATTTACCCTCATCCTTCTTCCTTATGTTATGAGTTGTTCATCTAATTTGGTATTATTGGCTCATGTTTATTCTTCCTCTCTTATCGTCTCCCTTCATTTCCTTTTGACGCTTTTTGTGTATCTCTAATTTTTCCTGTTCATTGTATCTCTTAATATTTTTGTCTTTTTATCTATTGGTATCTCCTAAACACTATTCTTCCAATCATTTATCCTCTCGTTCCTATGGGTTCTTAGTTTTGGTATCATTTATTTGACCCCATAATTCCTTATCTCTCCTTTATCTTCTCTCTATTTCCTTCTCCCTTTTGGACTTTGACGCTAATTGTATCTCCACAATTTCCTTCCTCATTGTATCTCTTAATATATTTTCTTTTTTGTTATCTCTCCTAAACACTATTCTACCAATCATTTACCCAAACTTTTCTTCTTATTTGGGTTTCTGAGTTGTTGTCTCTTAATATATTTTGTCTCATGTTTATCTTCCTCTATCTACGTTCCCCATTTTGGACTTTGACGCTTCTGTCTCCACAATTTCCTTCCTCCTTGTCCTCTCTTAATATTTTTTGTCTTTTTGTTATCTCTTAAACTTTATTCTCTTAATCATTTCTTTTTGTTATCGCTCCTCCTTCTTGATTTTTGTCATCTAATTAATTATCTCATTCTTCCTTCTTCCTCCTTATCCTGACGTGTCCCTTCAGGACTTTGACGCTTATGTATCTCCACAATTTCCTTCCTTCTTTTATCTCTTAATATATTTTGTCTTTTTTTATATCTCTTACTAAACACTATTCTACCAATCCATTTATCCTCTCGTTCGCTCCTTCTTCTTTTGGTATGAGTTGTTGTCATCTAATTAATTATCTCATGTTTATCTTCCTTCTTCTACTTTTATATCTCTTCAGGACTTTGACTTTTTGTATCTCCTCCTTATCTCTCGTTCCTATTTCCTTCTTTCTTTTTGTATCTCTTAATATATTTTCCTTCCTCCTTGTTATCTCTCCTAAACCTTCTTCTTTTGGTCTCTTTCCCCAACTCGCTTCCTCCTCTTGAGTTCGTTCCTATTTCCTTCTTATTTTTATCTCTTGTTTATTTTCCTCTATTCCTTCCTCCTCCTTATCCTCTCCTTCCTATTTTGACTTACTTTTGGTATCTCTTATCTCCTTCCCACTCCTGTTCATTCCTCCTCTTAATATATTTTGTCTTTTTTCTTATCTCTCTAAACACTTTCCTTCTACCATTCCTTTACCTTATTCTCGCTTCTGGGTTTTGAGTTACTTTGGTATCTAATTAATTATCTCCATCCATTTATCTTCCTCTATCTCTCGTTTCTATTTCCCTTCAGGACTTTGACGCTAATGTCCTTATCCTCTCAATTTTTCTTCTTCTTTTGGTATATCTCTTAATATATTTTCTCTTAATATATGTCTTTTGTTATCTCTCTAAACACTATTCTACCAATCATTTTTGGTATCAAACTCTTCCCCTATCTGGGTTCCTCCTTATCCTCTCATTCTTGTCCTTCTTACTAATTAATTCTCTCATGTTTATCTTCCTCCTATCTTTCCTCTCGTTCTGTTCCTCTCTCCTGGTTTCTTACTTGTACCCCCCCTCTATTCCTTCAATTTTATCCTCTCGTTCTATTTCCTCTCTTAATATTTTTTTGTCTTTTTGTTATCTCCTTCCTCCTCCTTATCCTCTATTCTATTTCCTTCTCATTTTGGTAACTCTTACTAAGGTGGGTTATTCCTTCCTTGACATCTAATTAATTATCTTCTTTTATCTTCCTCTATCTGACGTGTCCCCACTCAGGACTTTGACGCCTCCTTATCCTCTTTTCTGTTCCTTCTTACTCTCTTAATATATTTTGTCTTTTCCTTATCTCTCCTAATCACTATTCTACCAATTCTTTTTTGGTATCTCTCTTCTTCTAGGTGGGTTTATCCTCTCGTTTATGAGTTGTTGTCTATCCTAATTAATTCCTTCTATTTTGTCTTTTCTTTCCTCTATCTGACGTTCCCCCCTTCAGGACTTTCTTCTTCCTTCTCCTATTCTCCACAATTTCCTGTTCTTTTCTATATCTCTTAATATATTTTGTCTCTTTTTTATCTCTCCTCCTTCCTTCCTCTCTATTCTACCAATCCTATTTTGGTTCTCTTTATGGGTTATGAGTTGTTTCCTCCTCTTATTCTCGTTTATTTCTTCTTGTTTTCTTCCTCTATCTCTTCCCGTGTCCCCAGGATTCTTTTCCTCCTCCTTAATGTCTCGTTTCTATTTTCTTCTTCTTTTGGTCTCTTAATATATTTTGTCTTTTCCTTCCTCCTCCTTATCACTCGTTCTTTCCTTCTTACATTTTGGTATCTCTTGCTCGCTTTCATTCTATGAGTTCCTCCTCCTTATCCTCTCGTTTCTCCTTCTTACTTTTGGTATCTCTTACTTGTGTCCCAGGACTTTTCCTCCTCTTGTCCTCTCGTCTATTTCCTTCTTCTTTTGGTATCTCTTAATATATTTTGTCTTTTCCTTCCTCCTCCTTATCCTCTCGTTTCTATTTTTCTTCTTACTTTTTTATCTCTTGTATCTTTCTCCCCCCTCCTCTATTCCTTCTCCTCCTTTTCCTTCTCGTTTCTCTTTCCTTCTTGTCTTTTGGTTATCTCTCCTTATCTTCGTTCCATTTCCTTCTTTTTTGTTATCTCTTCCTTATCCTTCCTTCCTCCTCCTCGTCCCTCCTATTTCCTTCTTACTTTTGGTATCTCTTACTTTTTTTCTCTATTCCTTCCTCCTCCTTATCCTCTCGTTCCTATTTTTTCTTACTTTTGGTATCTCTCCTTGTCCCCCTCTATTCTTCCTCCTCCTTTTCCTCTCGTTCCTATTTCCTTCTTACTTTTGGTATCTCTTGTTGTATCCCCCTCTATTCCTTCCTCCTCCTTATCTTCGTTTCTATTTCCTTCTTACTTTTGGTATCTCTTACTTGTTTTGTCTATTCCTTCCTCCTCCTTATCCTCTCGTTCCTATTTCCTTCTTACTTTTTTATCTTTTACTTGTACCCCAAACTATTCCTTCCTCCTCCTTATCCTCTCGTTCCTATTTCCTTCTTACTTTTGGTATCTCTTATTGTACCCCCCACCATCCATTTATTCCTCCTCCTTATCCTCCTCGTTCCTATTTCCTTCTTACTTTTGGTATCTCTTATTGTACCCCACTCTATTTTCCTCCTCCTTTGTCCTCTCGTTCCTTTTCCTTCTTTTTTTTGGTCTCTCTTACTATTCCCCATCCATTTATTCCTTCTTCTCCTCCTTGTTTGGTATCTCTCGTTATGATTTTCCTTCTTACTTTTCGTTCTAATCTCTCTTAATTTTGGTATTTTGTCTTTTGGTTCCTCTCCCTCCTTATCCTCTCATTCCTATTTCCTTCTTACTTTTGGTATCTCTTACTTTCCCCCCACTCTATTCCTTCCTCCTCCTTATCCTCTCGTTCTTTTTTTTCTTACTTTTGGTATCTCTTACTATTTTTGTCTATTCCTTCCTCTCCTTCCCTCTCGTTCCTATTTCCTTCTTACTTTTGGTATCTCTTTCTTGTACCCCACTCTATTCCTTCCTCCTCCTTATCCTCTCGTCCCTATTTCCTTCTTACTTTTGGTATCTCTTATTTTTGTCTTTTTGTTTCTCTCTATTCCCTTCCTCCTCCTTATCCTCTCGTTCTTCTTTCCTTCTTACTTTTGGTATCTCTTACTTTTCTCTCTCTAAACACTCCTCCTCCTTATCTCTTCTATTTCCTTCTTACTTTTATCTCTTAATCCCCCATTTTCCTTCTTTTTGTTATCTCTCCTTCTATCTGACTTTTTGTTCCTTCATTTCCTCCTCTCTTCCTTCTTCCCCTATTTCTCGTTCTTTTCCTTCTTACTTTTGGTTCTCTCTTTTTCTATTCCTTCCTCCTCCTTATCCTCTCTTTCCTATTTCCTTCTTACTTTTGGTATCTCTTACTTGTACCCCCACTCTATTCCTTCCTCCTCCTTATCCTCTCGTTCCTATTTCCTTCTTACTTTTGGTATCTCTTATATGTACCCCAATCTATTCTTCCTCCTCCTTATCCTCTCGTTTCTATTTCCTTCTTACTTTTGGTATCTCTTTTGTTATCTCTCCTCCTTTCCTTCCTCCATCTTCTTCATTTTCCCCCTTTTTTTCCTCCTCTCTTATCTCGTTTCTTTTCCTTCTTACTTTTGGTATCTCTCTCCCCTTTCCTATTTCCTTCTATCCTTCTACTTTTGGTATCTCTTACTTGTATTTTGTCTTTTCCTTCCTCCTCCTTATCCTCTCGTTTCCTTCCTTCTTACTTTTGGTTCTTCTTCCCCTTTGTACCCCCACTCTATTCCTTCCTCCTCCTTATCCTCTCGTTCCTATTTCCTTCTTACTTTTGGTATCTCTTACTTGTTTGTCCCACTCTTTCCTTCCTCCTCCTTATCCTCCTCGTTCCTATTTCCTTCTTACTTTTGGTATCTCTTATTCTTCTCTCCCTCTTTCCTTCCTCCTCCTTATCCTCTCTTTCTATTTCCTTCTTACTTTTGGTATCTCTTTACTTTACCCCCACTCTTTCCTTCCTTCCTTATCCTCTCGTTCTATTTCCTTCTTACTTTTTGGTATCTCTTACTTTGTACCCCACTCTATTCCTTCCTCCTCCTTATCCTCTCGTTTCTATTTCCTTCTTACTTTTGGTATCTCTTACTTGTACCCCCAGGACTATTCCTTCCTCCTCCTTTTCCTCTCGTTTCTCTTTCCTTCTTACTTTTGTCTCTTGGTTATCTCTCCTAATCCTCGTTCCCTTTCCATCTTTTTTATCTCTTCCTTGTACTCTCTTTCCTTCCTCCTCCTTATCCTCTCGTTTCCTATTTCCTTCTTACTTTTGGTATCTCTTGTCTTTTACCCCCATCTATTCCTTCCTCCTCCTTATCCTCTTAATTCTATTTTGTCTTTCTTTTTTGGTATCTCTTACTTGTTCCCCCCTCCTCTTCCTTCCTCCTCCTTATCCTCTCTTTCCTATTTCCTTCTTACTTTTGGTATCTCTTACTTGTACCCCCTTTTTCCTTCCTCCTCCTTATCCTCTCGTTCTATTTCCCCCTTACTTTTGGTATCTCTTACCCCCCCCTCTCTTCCTTCTCTCCATTTTTCTATTTCCTTCTTCTTATCCTTCGTTCCCTTTCTATTTCCTTCTTATTCTTTTCTATTTCCTTCTTACTTTTGGTATCTCTTCTCTATTCCTTCCTCCTCTCTTATCCTCTCGTTTCTATTTCCTTCTTACTTTTGGTATCTCTTACTGTACCCCCTCTATTCCTTCCTCCTCCTTATCCTCTCGTTTCCTATTTCCTTCTTACTTTTGGTATCTTACTTTACCCCCACTCTATTCCTTCCTCCTCCTTATCCTCTCGTTTCTATTTCCTTCTTACTTTTGGTATCTCTTACTTGTTCCCCCACTCTATTCCTTCCTCCTCCTTATCCTCTCATTCTATTTCCTTCTTACTTTTGTATCTCTTACTTGTACCCCTCTTCTATTCCTTCCTCCTCCTTATCCTCTCTTTCTATTTCCTTCTTTTGTTTTGGTATCTCTTACTTGTTCCCCATCCTATTCCTTCCTCCTCCTTATCCTCTCGTTTCTATTTCCTTCTTACTTTTGGTATCTCTTCTCTTTACCCCTTTCTATTCCTTCCTCCTCCTTATCCTCTCGTTCCTTTTTCCTTCTTACTTTTGGTGGTCTCTCTTGTGTACCCCCACTCTATTCCTTCCTCCTCCTTATCCTCTCGTTCCTATTTCCTTCTTACTTTTGGTATCTCTTACTTGTTTTCCTCTCTTCCTTCCTCCTCCTTATCCTCTCTTCCTATTTCCTTCTTACTTTTGGTATCTCTTTACCTCTCACTTTTCCCCCATCTATTCCTTCCTCCTCCTTATTCTCTTCCCTATTTCCTTCTTTCTTTTGGTATCTCTTCTTACTCTATTCTCTTCCTCCTCCTCCTCTCGTTCCTATTTTCCTTCTTACTTTTGGTATCTCTTACTTGTACCCCCTCTATTCCTTCCTCCTCCTTATCCTCTCTTCTATTTCCTTCTTACTTTTGGTATCTCTTACTTTCCCCCCTACTCTATTCCTTCCTCCTCCTTATCCTCTCGTTCCTATTTCCTTCTTACTTTTGGTATCTCTTACTTGTTTCCCCTCTATTCCTTCCTCCTCCTTATCCTCTCGTTCCTATTTCCTTCTTACTTTTGGTATCTCTTTTTGTACCTCCTCTATTCCTTCCTTTCCTTATCCTCTCGTTTCCTATTTCCTTCTTCCATTTTGGTATCTCTCTTCTTCCCCCCCTCTATTCCTTCCTCCTCCTTATCCTCTCGTTCCTATTTCCTTCTTACTTTTGGTATCTCTTTACTTTTGTACCCCCTCTCTATTCCTTCCTCCTCCTTATCCTCTCTATTCTTCTTCTTTTCCTTCTTATCTTTTATCCTTCTTCCTCCTTTCCTCTCGTCTCTTCTTATTTTGTCTTTTGGTTATCTCTCTTCCTTCCTCCTCCTTCCTCTCGTTCCTATTTCCTTCTTACTTTTGGTCTCTTATTGTCCCCCTCTCTATTCCTTCCTCCTCCTTATCCTCTCGTTTCTATTTCCTTCTTACTTTTGGTATCTCTTACTTGTACTTCCCCCTCTATTCCTTCCTCCTCCTTATCCTCTCGTTCTATTTCCTTCTTACTTTTGGTATCTCTTACTTGTACCCCACTCTATTCCTTCCTCCTCCTTATCCTCTCATTCCTATTTCCTTCTTACTTTTGTTCTGTTCTCTTTCCCTTCTTCCTTATTCTTCATTCCTATTTCCTTCCTCCTCTTTTATCTCTTCTCGTTTCCTCTTTTCCTTCTTACTTTTCTTCCATTTCCTTCTTAATTTTTGTATCTTTCTTCCCCCTATCTATTCCTTCCTCCTCCTTATCCTCTCGTTCCTATTTCCTTCTTACTTTTGGTCTCTCTTACTTTATTTTGTCTTTTCCTTCCTCTCTCCTTATCCTCTCGTTTTCCCCCCCATCCTTCTTACTTTTTGGTATCTCTTACTTGTACCCCCATCTCTATTCCTTCCTCCTCCTTATCCTCTCGTTTTCTATTTCCTTCTTACTTTTGGTATCTCTTAATTGTATTTTGTCTTTTCCTTCCTCCTCCTTATCCTCTCGTTCCTATTTCCTTCTTACTTTTGGTATCTCTTTCTTCTTCCCCCACTCTATTCCTTCCTCCTCCTTATCCTCTCGTTTCTATTTCCTTCTTACTTTTGGTATCTCTTACTTGTTTTGTCTTTTCCCTTCCTCCTCCTTATCCTCTCGTTTCTATTTCCTTCTTACTTTTTTCTTTCCTATCTCTCTTTCCTTCCTCCTTCCTTCTCCTCATTCTCTATTCCTTCCTCCTCCTTATCCTCTTCTTTCCCCCATTTTCCTTCTTTCTTTTTCGTTTCCTCTCTTACTTTTACCCCTCTTACTTGTTCTTCCTCCTCCTTATCCTCTCGTTTCTATTTCCTTCTTACTTTTGGTATCTCTTTTACTTGTACCCCCCTTCTATTCCTTCCTCCTCCTTATCCTCTCGTTTCTATTTCCTTCTTCCTTTTGGTATCTCTTACTTGTATTTTGTCTATTCCTTCCTCCTCCTTATCCTCTCGTTCCTATTTCCTTCTTACTTTTGGTATCTCTTCTTCTTCCCACTCTATTCCTTCCTCCTCCTTATCCTCTCGTTTTCTATTTCCTTCTTACTTTTGGTATCTCTTGTACCCCACTCTTTTCCTTCCTCCTCCTTATCCTCTCGTTCCTATTTCCTTCTTACTTTTTCTATATCTCTTCTTGTACCCCACTCTATTCCTTCCTCCTCCTTATCCTCTCGTTTCTATTTCCTTCTTACTTTTCCTCCTATCTCTTACTATATTTTGTCTTTTCCTTCCTCCTCCTTATCCTCTCGTTCCTATTTCCTTTTTACTTTTGGTATCTCTTCTTCTTGTACCCCCTATTCTTCCTTCCTTCCTCTCTCCTTTTCCTCTCTTTCTCTTATTTCCTTCTTACTTTTCCTTATCGTTCCTTTTCTTCTTACTTTTGGTATCTCTATTTTTCCTCCCCTTTATCTTGTTTCTCTCTTACTCTATTCCTTCCTCCTCCTTTATCCTCTCGTTCTTATTTCCTTCTTACTTTTGGTATCTCTTACTTGTACCCCCACTCTATTTCCTTCCTCCTCCTTATCCTCTCGTTTCTATTTCCTTCTTACTTTTGGTATCTCTTACTTCCTCTATTCCTTCCTCCTTCTTATCCTCTCGTTCTATTTCCTTCTTACTTTTATCTCTTATTGTCT